GTTGGGCTGACTGTGATTTGAGTTTGTTTGATTATGCATGACGGTAATTATGGGTCTTCGGCCCGGATAGGCCGCTACGTGATTTGTTGTGAATTGTGAATTGAGATTTAATTTAAATTGATCTTATTGGTGAAGATTGTGGATTATGAATAAAATATGAGAAATAGGCCACCTAGTATAATTAGGCGGACCTGAATTGGATTGACTGTTTGAATCACCAATAGGATATGGTTAGGAAGTTGGCTATTGTGGGGCGTCGTCGCACCCCCGGTGGTCTTGGGTTAAAAACGTACGTACGGAAGTCCGCGACCTGTCCTGGCATCGCAGGGATAGGGGCTTCAACCCGCCCAAAGTGAATCTCCTTTGGGTTTCTGAGCTGGCCCTTTTATAGCATCGCTTGGGGTGCCATGACTCAAAGTAGTTGATGTGGAATAAAAAAAGGATATGATGTTCAAATAGAAGGTGTTAAAATAAATATGTTTATCTAAGCTATGTTCTTTCTCCGTGACCACTTGCTGTTGTGACTGTATGTTAATGTGGTGCTAATCTGTGAGTTAATGCTAGCTTAGGTATATTATCACTCAGCAATTCACTGAGCGTGTAGTCGTTGTTGTTTGACTGCACGCAGGTAGGAACACTGATTTTGATGGGCAACCTGGAGGGCAGTGAAGTGGTGGTGTGGCCTGGATGGCTCTTATTTACTTTAATAACTAAACTACAGTATTTTAATTGATTACATGGACTGTTGGACGTTACTTTGGTTTTACCATGCTTCCGCGACGTTTGGACTTGTTTATTACTATGATAAATTTTGGTTTAGTTTTGAACTCTCACGGATGAATTTTATAATTTATTCAGCTGATTATTTTCTTAAAAAAAAATATTGTGCATGCGAATACCAATTTAGTAACAACCCGGTTCACTAATCCGTTGGTTTGGGTCACGCGGGTTGGGGTGTTACAAATGCAAAGGTACAGACCTTGAAATCATCGGCCGAAACCTTACGGATGAGCGGGAGTGGAAACAACATTGGAATTTGCCAACTTTGTCATTTCCGTCACAACTGGACAGCCTGCGGTATTTTGGGCATATCTCCATCGTTTCTTCACGAAATTGCAAACCGTTTGATTCTGTGGATTCCTAAGATGTAAGGCTATAACTTTCGTATAGAAAGTATTTTGAGATAATGAATTTAAAATAGCGTAAATTGGACCTGAAGTTAGGAGAAAGTTGCTGTCCAGAAATTTGAATACTCCGGTGAACAACGGTTCCGACGATTAACCCATTAACTTCAATATTCCAACACCGAACCTTCTCTACAATACCTTCCGGATGTTCCTAATAATTGTTAGAGAGTTTATGGTGAGTTCTTGGAATGAAACAATATGAATTTGGTGAAGAAAATGGTCCAACCCGAGGAGCTCGCCACCACTGGCGCAGTCCCGGTATTTTGGCCATATCTTCTTCGTTACTTAACGAAATCGCGAGCCGTTTGTTGGCCTGGATTTGTATCGTCCGGAGCTACAACTTTGGTTCACGAAGTATTTCGAGATAATGGATGGGAAATTTTAGTTTTTACCTAGAAGTGGGCTGCTGTGTTTGAACTCAGGATTTTAGAACTTTGGATGGTTTTCTTGCTTCTTCTTCTTCTTCCTTGAACCAACTATGGAGATGAACTTTCTTTTCTTTTCCTTTGGTTTGGCCGACAGAGAGAGAGTGGAGAGGGGAGAGATGAGATGATGGTGATGATGGTTGAACATGATGATAATGATGAAGATGGTGGTGGTGGAGTATCATATATTTATTTTTGGAGTGTTGTGTTAATGGGGTTAGTGGAGAGTTGAAATCTTGGGATTGTGAGCATCACAAAGGGAAGCTACGTGATTTGGGAGAGATTTGGAAAATAAAATTTTGGCTTCTTGCCAAAGCTGAACAATTTACTCCAAACGGTACGTGCTTTTTCGCCCAAACTGCTCCGAATCAGAAACGGGTTACGTTTTTGGAATGAGACTGTCAAAACTAGAATTTTGATGTAATCGAAATATTTTTTGAGAACTTTTATTTTTCTCAGTGTTCAGGTTTGTCTCAGTCATAAATAAATTTTATAGTATGAATGAGATATAATTTTATGAATTAAATCCAAATGATAAATATGGTGTTGTGAAGTGTCAAAGATTTAGATTTCTAATCTTATGAAATCTCTTTTGAATTGAGTTTATTTCATGGGTCAAAGTTACAAATTTTAATATTTAAAATGCAGGCTAAGTGCTCTTCTTCATTATGATTTTAAAAAGTGTAGCAACAATGGAACAAATGGCTTGGAAGAACATCAGACCCGAACAAAGATAGAGCTCCTTGTAGTAATCCCCCACAAAGTTATCTAACTCTTGATTTTTGTCGAGGAGTAACAGCTCCCTTTCACTACAATCCAAATGCACATTCACGTTTGACTCTTGATCTTTCCCTGTAAGCACATTCCCTTTCAACCTACTCAAGCCCGCAGCACTCTTATACCTTAAGAAAGCCTCCTTTAACCTTTTATTCCGGCGAATCACAATCAAGGTTTCTTTGTCTATGCCTCTCAAGTGATCGCGGCAAGTGAGCATCACATGATAAAACGTGAGCACAAAGAGAAACATCACCGTGGCATAGACAAAGGAAGCCCCTAGAAACAATGAAAAATATGACTCATCGGCAACAATCCCGGCGAGCACCATCCACCATAAGCGTAGGTATGGAGACCCTTACAAGCTGCATGACGTCGTTAGCTCACCGGACAAGATCGTTGTGCTGCTGCTTGAGATGATACTGTTTTGCTTCATAGCATGTTAAGATGATGATACAGGCCATGCAGAGGATTCGGGCCATGCGGACGTAGACCACGAAGGGGCTCCTAGGTTGGACGACCACGACGGAATGCTGGGCGACCTCGCCGTTTCGAAGATTACGTTTGATATTTTTATTATTCCTTTTTGTTCATTAATGTAATAGAATTTTAAGTGAGCAAACTATAAGCTCCTTCGAGGGTTTCTTTTTTGTTCTTTACCTCGTCGCTTTTCTTGAACCGACATGATAGAAAATTAGTAATTTAGGTTGGGGAATTCTTCTATAGAAGGGAATGATAAACCCTTATGCATGGTATGAATAAGAGATAACTCCTTCCCCTAGATTCTTTTTTTCCCTAAACCCTAATAATGCTCCTTCTCCTTTGCCGCCTCTGCCGACCAGAAAAATATGGTCGCCACCCCCTTGCTGCAAAAACGGATACCTCGAGTATCAACTGGTGCTTTCATTGTTGATCTCATGCTCCGATGTCTTTGTCTGAACCAAACCCTACTTCCTTGACCTTGAAGGATGTCATGCACGCCATCAACACTCTCGGCCAAGATTTGAATGCCACCAAACTCCGGGTCGCTGAATTGGAATCCGCTAGGACACCAAACATGGATGAGAATCACCGCCATGGGGTTCCTTATCATCCGGTCTGCCAGCCGTCGCCGTCTTGCACCACACCGCCGACACTGGATTCTGCCCCTCGCATGCGAGTAGATGCGCCTCGATTTTCGGCTGGTGACCCTATGGGTGGGATATTTCGTGCCCAAAAGTATTTTGATTACTTCTTGACATTTGAACTAGAACACATGCAACTCATGGCCATGTTGATCGACCATCCTGCGTCCGAATGGTTCCATTATTATCACGCGAACAACACCTTGGCGACTTGGCCCGGCTTTCTTGACGCCATGCAACAACGCTTCGACCCCAATTATTATGAGAACTACGTTGGGTTATTGTCCAATCTCACGCACACTTCTTCAATTATGGAGTATCAATCCGCTTTTGAATCAATTCTCAACAAGGTTTCCGGGGTCCCCGAACTGACCCTTGTCGCCATGTATATTGTGGGACTTAAAGAGCCGGTGCAACGGGGGGTTAACCTTTAGAACCCTAGCACACTGCCGGCTACGTTTGCCTTTGCGCGCGAACTCTCGGCTTGTCACCAGGATGTTGGACACGAGTTCAAACCCCTTTATTATTTTTCTGGAATATTTTTTGTTTTGATAAATGACAAACAGGATGATGAAATTCAAACGATAATCGAAAATTTATTTTTTCGTACCGAGAAAAGAAAAGAGGCGTATCAAGAAAGTTACGGGATAAAATTCAACGCTCACCCCTACGCAGATTTTTGAAGTGAAGTGAAGACTCCGAAGACTTTTTAATTTTTATTGAGTCTAGGATTCTTGTAAGGATGACAATAATTTTTGCATAAACAAATTAATTTTTGAGGGATAAAAATTATTATTTCTTGAGTCAGTTGAAAAATTATTTTTTTTTCTGTCTAAAAATATTCTTTTGAGTCAGTTTCAAAATAGTGTGTCAAAATTTCTTTAAAATATTATTTAAGGATACACAAATTTTTTGTGGTAAGAAAAATGTACTTTAAAGAGTTTTTCTTGTACATCGTTTGACACACAAAATATTTTTGGGACTCAATTTCTACACCAAAATTCAAATATTTAATTCAAATTTTGAATTTGAATTAATTTCTGTAACC